TATATATATATATATATATATATATATATATATATATATATATATATATAATGAGTATGATGTATTTGAGAGTTGGATAGAAAATATCTGTGTGAATTGCGTAAAAGAAATGTTAATTGTGTTTATCGGAATGCATTTATTTATTATAGTTTCCAATTTCGTAAAAAAACTTCAAAACCCTGAATTAATAAAAAGGGAGGATTGTGGAGCAGACATAAAATACCCAAAAGGCCCGCGCGGGCATAAGGAATCCGAGAAGCTCGCAAGGGTATTAAGTATACCATAACGTGTTTAGCTTCAGGACCTTAACCACACAGAAATGAACTAGAAAACCACAACATATTAAACATTATTTACAACATTATTTATTGCGTATTTTTATCACGTCAGCTTGTTTTCACATATACTATGCTTGTGTAAAATTGGTAGTTATATCGATAATCATAGATTCGATTAATAAGTATGTGAAGTTGTTTTAGAATCGAAATAAAGAATCATAACAATTGATTTCTAAAACTGATTGCTTCCAGTAGTACAGATAAATGTGTGATGTCTTAAGAATACATATGTATTCTAATTACGTTCTTCAGAGCTTTCCTGAAATTAGCTGAAGGATATGATAATTTGCACATCATTCACAGCAGTGCAGTGTAATATTTTTTCTTGTTTCTTTTTTTCAAAAACCTTTTATTGTACTCTTGGAAGACCAATCAACGAAAGGTGCATTTTAAACATACCCCTGTAGTAGATTACATCGTCCTGTCACTGCAGTGAATGGTTACGCACATTGAACTAGCGATCCGATAAATCTTCGAAATGTAAGGAAGGAACCATTGTACTAAGTCCCTGAGTTTGGAAATCATGATGTAGTAACTTCTTATATCGCTCCGCGACTGACCCATGACCGAAATGTAAGCAATCCCGTTACCACTTCGCTGAGATAATATTCCACCAATGAAATAACTTTGCTTAGACTCTACTGAGAGAGAAAGACCTTGCCACAGTGAAAGAGAATGCATGCAAAAATGTATGAGTATTAAGAACCATAAATAAAAATATCGGAATAATCCATTTTTGATAATGTGTTATTGAATGATGAAACTACTGAATGAAACAAAAATCAATGAACGAAATTGTGCGTAGTAATTTCCACGAAAGCGTTAACTATTTCTTTCGTAATAAGAATACAAAAAGGAGGTGAATAGTAGTGTTGAAAGTAGAAATAAGAGGTGAAATTTACGGATGATTGACCTTTAATTGCACACATGTGGTAGCAATCAATTTAATTATCTCATTCGTTGTATCATAAAAGATAATGATTTGCAGAATGGTCGTAGGTATGCAATAAAAATTACAGCAGTGCCATCAAACTACACTGTCATGTCACATCCACTGAATGTGCATGTAAGTGGATTAAGATATTAAGATATTATCTTCATCTTTCGCAGATGTAGTACGTCAGAGAGCAGATGTTTTCATTGTGTGCACATATACGGCATGTGATATAAACGCTCTTTCTATAGCGCGAACAACTTCAAATCAGTCAGATAAAGGGTGAAGATGAAAGATTTCATCTCAACCAAATATAATAATTTTATGTTCAAGGTTTTGAAACGATTAGTTACTCGTTCCATTATGAATATAACTCGTGAAAGAAACTTACTATTAATTATCGTGTGTTTCACATTAACGAAAACACTTTTTTTTATTTATTCTTGTCTGCGTGTGGTAGAAGTATCATTTGCTTTGATCACTCTTCTTCAATTCTGTCATTATACAATCACTTGTGGTGCATTTGGTGAACATCCCTCTCGTGTTCTCATATCCTCCAATTGCGTTTCAAATATTAGTTTGGCCTTTCTATTCTCCTTCATTCTGTTCAATGTCCAAACTATTTTGGTGTATTTATCTATTTCTTATCAACTAGGTCACTTCCGACTCTTCTCAAATAGTATTATATATCAGCTCTCCTACTTTTCCATACGGAATGCAAGTGTCATTTGTGATGCAAGACGTTAGTACGTTCGTTTTCTATTTGGCAGGCTTTTCGTATTCTGCAGAGATTTGTATTTAAACTGTCCGAAAATTTATTATTTCTATTTCGACTTTCACATTTGCAGTTACTACAAATTTGGATAGAATTAATTCTCTTAATTTTGCCTTCTTATATTATCTTAGTTTGTACGCTTAATTGGCATTTGCAATTAGATCTTTTGCCCCAACTCACGAGAATTAACTTCACAAACGTCAATTCAAACACTAATGAATCTGGTTTAATGTAGGAGGGCGGCACATTCCGATATTCTAAAAGAATGTAAAAACATCAGAAAGCGAGTGCATGCCACCGGTGGTTCTAACGCATTTATTTAATAATTTTAAATTTGAAAATGTATGCATTTGTCCACGAGATCACAGTCTCATTGATAATGCATATCAGCCCGTTCCATTGCTTAGTCTTGATTTCTTTGTCACCCAATAGAATCTCGGTTGCCATTCAAACACATAGAACGGTATATATGTAAAAAGGCATTAAATGGCCTGATAATTGCTAAATAAAAACATTCAGCAGAGAATCCGGAATTTTGCCGATCCGCGCAGAAACGCGGTCGCGCCGATCTCCTAGAGATTCTGCGCCTTGGGGAAATCCACGCAGCCGCGCGAACCGCTCCGCGCCGCGGAGCTAGCGCGCGAGGGCAAGTGCCAATGAAGGGCGCGCATGCACCGGAAACCGCTACCGAGAGCGCATCTTTCAATTGTTTTGTTGCCGAATGACGGCCGGGCCGGCCGCCTGCGCAACCCGACTTATGCGCCAGTAAACCGTAGGAAAGAAAGCGAACACTTTTGTTAGTTTTGTCGGCAAACTGAGCCAAATGCGGTTATCAGTCAGCCCGTTCCACCGGTGATCGCGTCACAGACGGCGGCGCTGGCGGCTGAGAGTCGGGCGCGCGGGCAGTGCGTGCGCGCGAGCGCGAGGAGGGGTGGCGGCGAGAGAGGCGACGATTTCGGACTGCTGTCCAGGTGAAGCCCAGTAGTCACCAAACCCAGTGCGGGTTTGCCGGGGCGTCACAAGCACCACGTTGCTCCCAGCGCCGCTCGCGTCTCGCACGGCCCGCTCCTTGATCCGACGCGGCCGCGATAAGCCCTTGTCAGTCAGACAATACGCTGCGTCCTCGGGGAAGGCAGTGCGCGAGCAGTGCGCGAGCGGCGCTCGGGGGCGTGTTGTGTGTGAGCAGGTGGCACCCGAGGGCTGGCAGGCGCGCCGCCACTTGTCGGGGCTCCGGGGCGTGACGTGCGCTCGGTTGACGGATTGAGTATTGGTGGGCGCGGAGGGGGAGGGTCCGCGTGGAAATTTACCTAGGCGGAAGAAGAAGGAGGAGGAGGAAGAGCGGTAGGCGGGGGCGTGCGCCGACAGTTGCGACGCGCCCGGCGCGATGGTCACGGACTCGGAAGAGGCGGCGCAGTCGCGCGGAGGCGCGGAGACCGACGGCGAAGCGACGGCGCGGCTGGCGGAGGCGCGCCTGGCTGCAGCGGCTCCGGACGACGCGGGCGACATGGAGGGCGACAGAGGGCGGGAGGAGGAGGAGCGAGGCGAAAAAAAGAACAATGCGCAGGTGGACGCGGAAGATCGACCGGAGAAGCTGAAGGTTGGTGCTTTTCATGTTATTGCTTTCTGTCAAGGCGTCTGTCTTGTTCTTGGCTGAAGTTCAGATAAATCTGCGTTTCAAGTGTTATTTCAAATGAATGGGGTTTTAAACCATTTTTTTCGATACGTGTTTCTAAGCAATTACTAAGGTTCATGTGATTATATTTCACTATGTTCATGACAGCTTATATGGTACCAAATATCTACAAATACCATAAATCCTTTTATATTTCCGAAAATTTCTTTGGTATGTAAGTAGTAAAAAATGAATGTAAATAGTAAAATACAATGTTGCAGCTTGTCGAATGCATAATATTAATTTTCACTTCTATATTCTCTATACAGTCATTTCATGACGTATAGAGAATATAGAAGTGAAAATTCTCATACGTCATTTCATGATGAAATCTATACATTGTCTTATTCCTTTTAATATAAGGAATAAAAAAAATCTTTACCTTTTTGAACTCAAAATCATACATTTCCGTAGATACTATTTTTTGTAATTTTCCAATGTGTTGCAGCATGAGATCGGAACTTTGTGCGCATTCACACTCGGAGCGCTGTTGTACATGCGAGAGGTCGTTTGAGAACAGCGAGTACATTGTAATTCTGACGCCAGGCTGGCAAGGGCCTGGCGAGATTGCGGGGCCGCGTGCAATACATGGCGCGCGACAAATCGTAATATGCACCCTATTCTATCAATTTAAAAAATTACGCTTTAGCCGTTTGTATCTGAAAAAATAGATTTCTCTACGGCGGCACTTGGAAATATTTGCAGCGCGCGTCTCATATAAGATACAATCTTCTGGGTATTGTAAAAGAAAAGAAATAGTCAAGATACTGCTGTGAAATAACGAACCGTTTCTCAGCAAAATGACGTACCTAAGTAACATTTGTTCAACCATTTCGGGAGAAGTCTGTTGTATTTTTTTACTTGAAATGACGCCCCCTAATTAAACATACGTATTCTTTGAAGAACTTTCACTGTGGCGAACAGAGAAATAGAATTGTCCTAGAAATTCTAAAAATAAATAATTGATTTGACGAATATAATTGAAATCGATGCATAGTGCTCAAGTAGTTTGTTTCCATATTCCGTAATGCTACTCGTATGCAATTGCAATATACTGCAATTAAAATGTAATTAAGTCACCATCTCACATGAAATATTGAAAACAATTTCTATTTTAATGTAATGGTTGTTAGGATCAATCCAGAATATCCCCGAAAGCTGTAAATCTTCAGTTTTTTGAAGAAAAAATAGTGTTGATAGTAAATTAATAAAATGAATCTGATAAAAATAGAGATTCACTTATGAAAACTACTTATGTCATAAACAATTAATGATCGTTTTATCTAACCTAGAAGTTTGAGATAAGTATTAATACACAAATAATCATTGTACTGACCCTCCATGATAAACGTTTTTAAACGTTCTCTAAACAACTATAGTCTCTTTCTGTTGTTTACGATTTTCGTCATATCGAACTAAAAAAACTTTCAGCTAACTTGAGTACAGGTTAACTCAAGATATTTTTATTTTTTCACAATTTAATTTTTCTTCGTAATTTCACATTTGTTTGTTGTAATTTTGAAATATTACATTTTTTTATCCTTACTTTTAGGGAGCTTTTTTTAAATAAATAAGTTTTTAGATCACTTGTGGGATCTGTGCATTTCAACATCACACGTTAGTTCATCTGCTGAAAATTTAACTTCTGCTTTAATGCGAAAATTTAATGTTTAATCCACTATTATGTTTAGATTTTCTATTGATCGATTTCTTCAAGATTTTCATCATGTCTTTATACTTTATTTAATTATTTTAATCCATAAAATCGATGACGAAACTTCTCCCTTGCTGAATCTTGCCCCACATTTAGAATATAAGATCGCAAATTCTGTATCTAAATGTTCATTTGTTCTATTTCTTCAATCTAATAATTGATTAATTGTGCGAGTATTTTCATTTCCTTTAATATTTGTTCCTCTATTACAAATTAATTGGATTAAAGTGGTACTAAAATTTGATACTTTTTGAACACTCTACCAGTCTCACAATAGTATAATTTTGAGACTATTTTGTATTTGTGTGACAGTTCATTTTACGAGAGAGATCTTCTGCCGAAAGAAGATACCCGTAAATCTTTCAGCGAGAAGCGAATGATTTACACATCGTCTGCATCTAAAACACATCACATTCTGAAGAGTCTATATTAAATGATATCAGTAGACGAGGACATTGATAACAACCCTAGTTGTGGCTGTACATAAAGAATTGCGAGAGACAATGGTAAAATCGGATGGAAGGGTGTGTCAAGAACGTGAGATAGATTTGTGTGAAGTCATTTTCCGCAAATAATTTAAGAGATTCTCCAGTAGGAGTAAGGTAGGCACAAGGAAAAGTGGAAGAATAAATAAATCAAGACAGTTAAAATGTTAAGTCACGAGGGGAATTATAAGGCCCAAGGGACAGTTGAGGAATGCTGATAAGTGGTGAGGGTGACGCTATTGGCGGGGTCGTGGTCGCTGACTCCATTGATCCACTTTGGATTTCCTTTATTGTCACAGAATAGAATACTATGCTGACGTCGATTTCGTTTCTCCATTTTGTTTCTGAGTAAAGCTTAAAGTAGTTTGAAACCGTCATTAGTGCCAACTGCCAACGTCATAGACGACGTCACTTTCGGTTAAAGATCTTTTAACCGTCCAGATTTTTTAATTTCTAACTTGGCGTCACAGCGACAGGTTGTCTTGCAATAGAGTAAATTTGACGCTTCAACGTAGAGATGCGAGTAAACTTGCATTCGACCTAATGATTGCTGTACGTTATTAAAATGTCTGCCGGCAGCCAGTGGATCAAAAAGTATGTATTATTCGGGTCACGAAAAGGAATGGATACAAAAGTATGATTAACAGCGATAGGAAATGCTGTCTAAACAGAATACTCTTTTAATCAGTAGTAATTAAGGTAATTAAGTAACTAATAAATCTGATTTTAAACTGTTTAAGGTTCTGTATGTAAACAAATGTGTTCATTGATATGTGATCAATGTGTTACGTATAATTTTCAAAATCATAAAGCGGTAAATTATCGAACAAGTACTCATTAATTTTGTCGAAAAGGACATGTAAACCCTTTTAAGACCACATATATTAACTCCTTTCGGATGAGAGGTAAATGTGGAAATAAATCGAGAATTATGCTATTTCATGTTAATTTGTCTTGTTGTGTACGTTCCATGAATCATTCTCACATTAAGAAAAATACGAGTAATATATTCTAAAACAAACGATTCGGAAAATATAAATCCAAGGTTGTCTTGAACATTGTTACACGTGTAAACTCCAGGAAGACTTCGTGAAAAGTCTCGCATTATTCCGTGAAATTCTTACTTCATGATGCATGCTGTGTCGTGACATCTGGGAAACAACTTGTCCGTGGCAGACGGCGTGGTGCGCTTTTCATTAGTCCGAAAGAGGCGAACGTCTTTATCAATACGAGAGTGCGTTATGAATCACTGTGACCTAAAGATCTTCTGGATGGTCGAATCATACGCGAAAAATGTGTGGATGCATGACTGGTTTCACACGCATCTCAAGATGAGGTTTTTATGCGGACGCTCCATTTGTAATAAAGTAAACTAGTGCTTGATATCGGATATATTGACTATTCTACGAGTATCAATGAGGCATAGTTATTAATTTCTGTTATCATTTTGTATTGGTGTAATTTTACAGTTCATTGATTTACCGCGAAAAGCTATACAATTGAGTATTTCTTCCTCTCTTTGAATATTACAAAGCGCATATCCATCTTCATTTGTCAATTCGGAGAACAATAATCTATCCTTCAAGGATCATCATTAATCAAGAATGAGTAATTCTTCATGTTTAATAATTAAATAACTATTATAATGTTGTCCATTATCACAAATATTGGATGTTTTCATTAATTAGTGTTATGTTAACTTATGTAATCTGCGTACGATAAGGACACTTTTCAAAATCAAATTGTGCATCCGACTAAGAACGTTCGTCTACTGCAAAATAACAGCAGTACTGATGAAATCACCGCAGAACATGAGTGGTCGTCACAAAATCCTCTATGTTTCTCTAAAAAATTACGATCGAATAGAAACGATCGTGTGTTCTATCTGCAAGAAAAAATAGCAAAACTAAAATTACGTAGCCCTGTACTTTTCAGTCGGAGAGCACATTGATGTTAATTGATGTAAATGACATTAATATACTTATCACTGAAGGAATTACGAGAGCTTTCAACACCCAATTGTTTTCCTCTTTCAGCAGCGTAAGTGCATTCAGTAGCAATTTCACTCTGCACATTCGTTCATTTCAAATCGCAATGCGCCGGCAGGAGTGTGTCATAGCCCTTTTCCAACAATCTACATCTAGATCCAATTTCGATGAACGTGTTTGGGTGAAGTGGGAAGCTCCTTCACGACATTCTCCCTCAAATGTCTCGTACTATTCTAACCCGTCATTTAATTTGCTCCATAAATCATTACATCGCCATTCAATAACTCACTCATTCACTCACTCACTCATTCACTCACTCACTTATTCACTCACTCACTCATTCACTCACTCACTCACTCACTCACTCGCTCATTCACTCACTCACTCATTCATTCACTCACTCGCTCATTCACTCACTCGCTCATTTACTCACTCGCTCATTCACTCACTCGCTCATTCACCCACTCACTCATTCACTCATTCAATCACTCACTCATTAACTCACTCACTCATCACTCAACATTCACTCAATCATTCACTCAATCATTAATTCATTCACGCACTCACTCATTCATCCTTCGCCCCAGGGCAATGCGGCCGAGTCGCACCCTTGTCTTCCCTCGGCCTTTCTACGGGACGACTCGGCTCCACTCGGCGCCCCCATAGAGCGCAGGACTAACGAAGCGGTGAGACGCCGAGTCACTGCTTTCAAGCTTGACAGAGTAAGTGAACTTCTCACTTATGTAAATAATCTTAATGTTCGTGTTAAGAGTATTGTCTCGTTGACTGATGCTTTAACTCGATAATGAGTTTTATTTATTTATTTAACGTCTAAGAATAGTTACAAACTGTGTGTGACGTATGCTGACTGTGAGGAAGACGTGTGCTAATTTAGACCACTCACAGAAAATGGTTAATTAATTTTGTCAAATAGTTGATTGCAAAATGAAAAAAAAATAGTAATCTTCCTGATATCAAGATATATTTGTACGCTCAATTAAGGTTGCAAAGAAAATACTGCGAAAAGACTGCTCCGTGCCCACCGGCGTCGTACTTACGGCGGTCCTTTCGCTCTGCCGGAAGAGACAGCTCCCTCCTCCCTCGCCACGTTGTGAATCCAGGACTGCGCTGCGCGTGCGTCTCCTCGGCGGCGGTGCCGGCGGCAGCACCGAGGGCGTCAGCGGCGCGCACTTGGGGCTCGGCTATGAATGCGGCGAATTAGGCCCATCAGCGGCGGCGCCCGCGCCAGCGCACGGCACGTGCACGGCCACCTCACGGCCAGGCGGCGGCGGCGGCGGCGGCGGCGGCGTGCGCTTCGCCACGGTCGGGCGGTCGGAATCCGCCTCTCGGTGCTCCCTCCACCCTCTGCCACCCTCCGCCCCGCCCCAGGCGCAACCTCTGTCCCGCCCGCCTGGCCATTCCGTCTCTCAGTACGGCTTCCGACACGCACCGTATCTGCTTCGCCCGCCTCCGCCCATCCTCCGTCCTGCCTTCGTCTTGCCCGCACCGCCTCTGCCCCGCTCTGCCCCGTCTCTGCCCCGCCTCTGCCCGCCTCTGCCCCGCCCTCTGCCCCGCCTCTGCCCGCCTCTTCCCCGCTCTGCCCCGCCTCTGACCGCCTACTTGACCCGCACTACCCCACCTCTGCCCCGCCCTTCCCGCTCCTGCCCCGCCTTCGGTCGCTGCCTATGCCCCGCGTCGGCCCTGCCTATGCCCCTCCGCCCCGCCTCCGCCCCGCCTCCGTCCGCCTCCGTCGCCCGTCCGCCTCCGCCCCGCCCTCCGCCCCGCCTCGCCCGCCCCGCCCGCCTCCGCCCCGCCTCCGCCCCGCCTCCGCCCCGCTCCGCCCCGCCTCCGCCCCGCCTCCGCCCGCTCTGGCCTCGCTTTCTGCCCCCGCTTCCCTTCTGCCCCGTCTCCCTTCTGCCCCGCCTCTAATCCGCCACGCCTCACCGCTTCCATCCCGCCCCGCCTCCATGCCGCCGCGACACCTTCCCAATTCCGTCTCCTCTTCGAGTTCACAGCCCTCGCTCTAAACTCGCGCTCGCGGGCAGACGGCTCGCGCGAAAGCACCTCTAGCCACAGGTGCATGACATGTGCAGAAATTGCCACAATACGACAGCCTTCTTCAATGTAATATATTTTCTAATTTGTGCTCCTTAAAGGCGTTTCCGTATTCATACATTTGGGCTTTTACAGAATCCCTGGACGACCTATATATCACAGTTAAAGATCTACAAATAATACGTCTTGTTCACTTGTCTGTAGCTACGAAAAATAAATCAACTATTGTTTTCAGTTGATATCTACTAGAAATTGTTGGAATATTGAGGACCACTTCTACTGCATTCTCGATAAAGATGAGATTTTTGTTGAATTTGAAGAACTTTTCTTGTTATAAATGTAAAAATACGATGATCTCCAATCTTCCAGCGTCACACTTCCAGAAGTGCGATAACATCAAAGGTTACTTCGTTATCTTGTGGTACGTAAGTGCTCTTCACGAATGCAAGAAAATTAGGCACAATGTAATAATTAATTGTGATCAAAGTTACTGACTTAAGTGTTATATATCAACGGAAATGCTGGACGAAACGGAAAAACAAACAGAACGTAGGATGTACAAACAGAATGAACTAGAATGAAAAACTAGAACTCTCATTGTAATGTTGCGTGCACAAGGGCTAATTCTCAAAGCCTAATTAAAGCAATTATTTGGTAGGTCATGTAATGAAAATATATGGATTAATGTTTTCATACAACATGCTATTCAAAAGTTCAGGGATACTTTTTAAAATATTCTGAACACCCAGTTCAACATGATTCCTTTTCTCTTTTCTTTGAACGCATTGTATTCGGGTTCTTTTTGTCGATGGACGAAGACTAATGGTATTTTGCGTAATGAACACAAAGTGACACAAATTAACTGGTTATGAGTCGGAACCTACGCAGCAAAGTGATTAAGAGCGTGCGGAGTAGTGGGAGAAGAGGACAAAAAGAAATTGAATAATCTTTTCAGTATATCTTATCATTTTCAATAGAAGTAATGAAGATACGCCTATGTCGGTTCAAGAGCCGGTGTGAAGCAGCTTGCACCTCGGCGCCTTTATCGTTCTCCTACCCGCTAATAGTTGCTAATAGTTAGCTGAAGAAATCAACAGCCACACAGAGAGAGAGAGAGAGAGAGAGAGAGGGAGGGAGGGAGAGAGACAGAGAGAGGGAGAGAGAGGGAGGGAAAGAGAGAGAGAGAGGGAGAGAGAGTTCCCGTTCTGTCTTCCTCCGTAGTGCGATTAATTTCCATGTTCCCAATGGTCTGCCCCAGCAAATGCTCTTTCCCAGCAAATTCTCTTTAATTTTTCCTTACCTGAGAAGGCGCACCCCGACTCCATCTCGCTTCGTTCATCTGGTGTTTATGACGAAGATAACATTTTCGTTACGTTTGGGTTCATTAGTAGCAAACATGGATGTTCTCGAACCAATCCAGAGAAAACCTAGGAAACAGGTGAACATGGCAGAATCTTAAGAATTGTGCTTCTTCAATCAACGAGGTATGAAGGCGCTCTTGCTAGGTGATTTCATGTTTCCTTTTTTACCTTTAATGCGATAGTTTTCAAGTTTGTCAGTGGACTAAAAGGACATAAAAATATTTCTTCAAAACAGTTGGAAGTGGATAAATTATAATCGATCAGTGTGATTTTAAGCAGACCGCTGGGAACGTGGAAATTAATCGCACTACGGAGGAAGACAGAACGGGAGAGAGGTTGACTATACCTTTCTGGAGAGGAAGGTAAATGGCTTAGGACAACATGACCCCGGGATCCAGTTGGCATATGCCCTTCCTGGCAGCCTTCCGGCGAATTTGCGACTTATAAACGTGTCCTTCAACTGTTTCACGCGTCTCCTGTCACCGTACCATCACCGTACTATCACCGTACACCGTATCTTCCTTCAGGCAGCCTCGGGAGCTTTCCCGACGCCACTAACGCGACATACTACCACCCATAATTCCATTTTTTCAAAAATGGCATTCAATTTTTCTTCAAACATTTTAAGTGGATAGTGCTAAATGCACTATATGAAATTTCATAAAAGTAATTTTGCTGTATTCGTGTGGTTTCCAAAAAATGCGCCAATATAATCATTTTAAAATATATTTCATGTCCTTAATACAAAAATATCTAGCAATTTGTATACATTATTGCGTTTATGAGTTGAAATGCTTCAAATGGCTTTGAATCAAGTTTTTCGGAAACCCAAAAGGTTTCTGCATAAAAGAGTATTAAATTTCGCATTTACAGTAACGCTTAAGTGATATGTTCTTAAAAATGGCTCCAAATTGTTCTACGTAAATTTCCATATAGGACGAACTTTTACTCGTCCAAACCAAACCAAAAATATGAAATTTAAAAAAATGCACTACGGGCGGCGATTGATGGCAGCTGGCGAGAGGACGGGGCATGGCCAAAAAGCTAGCTCAGCTCACCAAATAAATTAGAAAACCACCTAGTAGGAGAAAGTCTGTGCCGTTCTGTAACACCACTATTTCTTTTTATTTGTCTTTGGCATCTTTAGATTAAAGCCAATGATATATTAAAATAGAACACATAGGAAACACATTTTTCCAAATCACATATTTATATTCCATTCGTATCATATATTCCATTTATATTAATATTTACGTTCCATTATAAGATTTTGTTACATTTATAGATACAACGTTTCGCGACGCGTCTCATCGCTTCGTCAGATACGTTCTGTGAATAAAGAAGTTTAGCTACGTTAAAGAACTAATCTAACAAATTACTATACAAGACACAAAAACATTGAGAACTAAGCAGCGCGACGAGAAAGACTCACCTTGTCAAACTATTATTCAAAGTTATTAACATTGTGCACACATTTATAGATTATCTTGAATAAATGCCTTAGGTAACGCATTATTGAAAACACCACTACTGTAGAGTCGTGGTAATTCAAGGTAAATCAAGGTTAGCTCAAATTAATGAAAACTCGAATCACCGAAAATTATTAATTTATTGAAATAGAAATATGAACACAACTTTTAAACTTCAAAGTATGTGTATTTCAATGAAAATGTAATAGCGTAATATTATGATATTAATTGCTCAAGGTGAATTAATTACGTCTTAAAATTATCGTCCATTGTTTTCTGTTTAAATTCATTGTCTTTTTACGTGCGGCAACATCACGCCATCTTCTGGACATCACATTGTTGTCTGGATTTGCCTCACGATGTTGTTCTGTGTACCTCACAGCGGCGCCTAGCGCAGCAAGAGCCTCGTCGTGACTCACATGCAGTGTGGTCCTCCTCCACATTGTCATCCTGCTCTACCACATTAATCATATCAACTACAGCTGCATCCGTACATTCCAGTTGTTTGTCATTATTTGTCGATTTAATTAATTTTTTTAAGTAAGTCGGATTTAACTCGCATTTTTGGGGACTCAAAGAAAAAAACAATTCGAGACCTCGAAATGAATCCGCGAACTACTGTTTTCTTTTTGTCCGCTCGTGGCAATCTTTTTTTCCCTCTTCTCCCCCCCCCCCCCCCCCGCGCGAGCGTCTTGTGGCCTCGCGAGGGCCGGTGCGTCCACGCCGCGCCGCCGCCGCCGCCACCTCGCTAATTGGGTGTCGCGCGCCGGCCGCTCTGCAAACGCGCGGGGGCGTCGCGACGCGTCGTGGCAGCGAAGCATAGGACGCAGTGCACCGGCGGCGGTCGCACGCGCGCTTAGGTAGCGCGGCCGACATGTCTTCCATCACGATCATCGTCACGGACGAGTGTTGCGGGGATGAGCTCCCGCTGTGGGTAAGTGTTGGCTTGCCTGCCTGTCCACTCTGGCAGATCTTTGCTGGCATCAATTGATGTCACTGCCGGAAGATCTTAGGGTTTGAGCCCCGACGGATTTTCGATACCAGCGAGACAGCTATGTGGAGTTCAGATGCTGTCTGGAGGAGAATTCTAGCGGCCGGCTGCTCTGATCGGTAGTTTCCCGTGGTTTCTCCCATCAACACCAGACGAATGCCGGGGCAGTTCCCTAACATCCGGGCCACGGACCGCACGTGAGATTTCCTTCCTCTTTTTTGTACTCACCCCTTTCTTACATGTGCACGCACTACACTTACTCACATGCCGGGAGATTGGCGGTCGGGAGCATTGAGCTTCACCTACCTGGGGCGGTGCCCCGTTGGTGGGAGATACCTGGTTGGGGGCGAGAAATCGGGCGACGCCCAATCTCGCCATCCGGCGGGGAATGTCTCCCGCGATGAAAAAAACCATAAACGCGCTTGTGGGACTAATGACTTTCGCATTTGACGCGCCCGGAAACACTAATCAATCTGCCTAGCACTAATAAATCAATCTAGCAGATCTCTAAATGAAAGTGATATGACAGTCTAAAAAATACTGTGATAAAGTCATATGGAAGTCAGAAGGGTGTTCATCATTAAAAGTCGAAAATAGAGATGAATACAATCAAATTTGCAAATCGGTTAGATAAAATGAAGAGGATCTCGGAGTGGAAAGCACATTCTGATAGAAATGATATATATATAATATCATTATTTGAATGTCAAATTTCTTATTAATTTAAAACATTGTACACACCCATGGGGATTCTCTTTCAATTGGATAATTCATTAGTCATTTGTACATAATTGTAATAAGAGGTGAGATCTTCCGATTTTCGCGTAATTTCTCAGTTTTATTATCACATTTTCGCGCTCAGTAATAAGATCGTATGATTTCCAGGACTAATTGAGAGAATGGCGATAATATTCTTATCCTACTAAATACTACTTTCTTTATAAACTTCTTACATTCTTAAATTAATAAACTTCTGTACATATATACATATTCATGAGTTTAATTACGCACATAAACACTAAAACGAATCAAAGAATATTGAAATTTTGACAAAATTCGGGCTTATAAATTAGATATCCGAATATAGTAGTCAGGTAACTTGGGTCGTCACCCACTGTACATCCCTTCTGGTCAACTGCATGGCGCCAGAGAGATGGCATTCGGCGTGCCTCGGTTTCCTGGTTAGGAACAACCGACTTTTTGTGCCCTTCTAATCTAATTGATTCAATTATTATATTATAGTATTATTCAATATAAAATACTTCTAAAACTTGAAAATGTCTGAGGCGATACCCTACAAAGCTAGTATACTGATATATACTGTGAAAAAGGTATTCCTCATCCGTCCACAAATTTGTCGTAAAGAATGTCCTATTTAGTGTTGAATGGACATTTATTAATATCCTTGATACAACTAGCATGTTACTATGGATTTTACTACCCGGGAGGAGGATTTCTTGTGCTAAAGTTGGAATAAAAATCATTATTTAATTTTTTATACTCAAGTTGTGTTTTA